AGGTAAAAGCAATGAAAGCCAACGTTTTCATATCTAGGAGCCTGAGCCTTTAGCATGTTAACTGCAGAACATTTTAGTGGCTAACTACAGTGTGATGCTAACTGAGTATAGCCTTACAACGTGTGCACTGCAGCCTGTGAAGATGATTACAATACAGCTTGCTCAGTTTAAAAGGATAAGTACATTTTGAAGTAGCAAATAGACCCATGGACCAACAAAATGGACACCAGAGGGAGAGATTTTTTTTTGTTACTTTATAAATTCTATGGTCAGTTGAAATTTGTCAGTGAAAATCTTTGAACAAATGTTTTAGTATCCAAATTTCAAACATGTTGCTGAATTGTTGTCTGTGCCCAAATATCATATTTCATAACACCACTCAGTTATGAATACATTTTTCTTTTATTAATACGAAGGTTATTATGGGTGGTTATTAAAGGCCCTGTACATCCACACACATGTTTCCCAACTTATTCTGGTTAATGTACCTCTGCTCAGATTGAAGTTGGGTAGAGCTGTGCTGGAATTACATCACCAAACGTCATTAACCAATAATAAAGATAAAGGTGTCACAACCCACCCACAACAGGTGCAATAAAATGATCAGGATGGACAGAGAGATGAGAGATGAAGCCCGGTTTGAGCACCCACATGCTAATTAGAAGAAGTCTAACTAGGCCTTGGGTGTGTAAGATACTTACATTAAACAAATCAACAATTGCATATAGCTGTATGGCTCAGGTGTCCACATACGTTTTGAACCCACACTATATCTCTAGCTTTGACTGATATCCAACATGAAGACACAATTTACTGTTCAACAACTCACAAGCAGATATATTTACCTCAAAATAGAAAACCTCCTCAAACTGTGGATTGTTGGTTTTCCTCTTCACTTTGGTCTTCTTGGCTTCCGACCTGAGAGAAGCAGAGAGGCAGAATGAGATAAAACCACATGTTAAAAGTTAACATGGAAAACAAAGGTGTGTCAGGTGAAATCACGTCCAATCGTGTGAGCGATCTGACCTTGAAGGTCCCAGTAAGGAGACGGCAGCGTAGGGATCACATTGGCCGTTGACGATTGGAAGACCTTGGCACTCCAACACACTGTTTAGAAACACACACAAAACATTAATGAATAAGCACACTACTGTACAACTTGCATAGGCACACATGCACACACACACACCTGTAACACATTAACGTGATGCTAATTAGAACTGTGTGATCTCGTCCAATGCTCTACTCTGAATGACTTATCGCCTAAATATCAGGCATCATGGTACTAAAATTCGAATGGTCTAATACATAAAATCTAACATAGACAAAAGCTTTGACCGTATCTTTATTATGCTAAGGTATGTTTTACAACGTTAATGTAGCTTTACTATGCTAAGTTAGGAGGAGCTAGCTTAGCTCTTTTTTCTTTTGGCAGCACCAAAAAAACCAAGATACGGCATAAAATGATCTCCAAATGCCAAGAGCTAGGGGCCAGAGTATGGAGAGTATAAGACTGCTCTCAGAGGACTCTTAAAGCTTTATTAAGTTATCACAAAATCAAATGACGAATGTAAAAGGGTCACCAGTCCTGCCAAGACCACTGATAATTGACACCCAATCCTCTGCCCACACAGGCAGCAGGAATCTCATTGCTCTCATCAACCCTCATATACAGTATCAAACATTATGCAGCTATTTCCAGGAAACAAGAAGATATGCTACCTGCCCAGCATGATACAGCAGAATAGACATTCAAATATCTAGCAGCTTAAGACAGATATGTTTCTCTGGAGTTTGTGGAGACCAAAGAGCTAAAAGACCAGTGTTGGACCTTGATTACCAGGTGACCAGAAACACGACTCCATTGGGATGATAATTCTGATACTATCAGTTTCTTTTGGAGGCTTTCATCCCCCCAATTGATAAAAAAAAGTGGCTTAATGCAGCTTTAACTTAACTTCAAAAATCCTAATTTGAAGTCCGAGCTCTGAAATGATTACAGAAGGTTCTCAGTAACACAGAGCTGGTAAACGAAAAGAAAACATGTGACACTTGAACCTTTTGGGTGGATACAACAACTTTACTGCTGCTATCCTCTAGACCAGGGGTATTTAATTAAAATTCCAAAAGGTCCAGATTGAGAAAATCTCCTCGGACAAAGGTCCGGAACATTACAATAATATCTAACTTGCGCTATTTAGTGCCATATATATATATATATATATATATATATATATATATATATATATATATTCAAAAAGTCTAGTAGCAGTAACGTCTCTGTGTAGTCAACAACTGTCAAATCAAATAAAGAAAGTACACATCAATTATATTTGAACAATTATTATTCTCAGTTTTCAAATTTAACTGGATGGATTATAAATAATACATAGAAATACATAAATAAATGTTCTTCTCATTTCATGTACAATAAGGGCTGCATTAAAGAATAACTGACATAACAGAAAGCTTTTCAAAAATGTGCATCTTAAAATAAAGTACTTAATTTTAGAAAAAATAATTCCACTGAATTGTCCTGCAGCTTTAAATTTAGTTCATTCTGGTGTGAAGTGATGTCAATCAAAAAGCCACAATATTATATTTTTCTCATCTTCTAACCTAACAAGATAAATCAGTGAGCATGGACTTTATGTGTGGTTATTAACACTTGTTTCAGCTCTATTCTCTCTGTTTACATCATTGTTGGTCAGTGAATTCATGTGTTGGGATCCTGATCATTTTGGGCTCTTAGGTTTATTTTCTGTGTCTTCATTTAGATGTGAGTGGGTACGTTTGATGAAAAGAGTTGTGCTTTGTCTCGTAGTGGCGCTTCATATTACCGCTTTTAATAATCATCACGGTCTCTGAACACATGAGACATGCTGGTTTTAAACTGTCCGTGTGAAGAAATAACCTATAAGAGTCTGTTCATTCTTGGTTAAAGACTCTGGTCTCTTTGACCACTTTTCTCTCTTTGGAGAACATTATGTGAACTTCTCTGACTCACGTAATTCTCCTGATCTTCCTTCTCTTTCCTCATCTCTCCCCCGGTGTGTGTACATCTCACTCGAATCAGGAAACGTGTCAGAATACCCATATTTGATTGGCTGAGCTGCATCACGTGATGTGATTTACAACGCATTGGTCGGTGCGTTTCCTGCACCGCTGAACAAGTGCAGTAACGGCTGAAAAAGCTGCGCCGGTTAAAATAGAAGTGCTCTGTCAAAATAAAATCGATTTTAGGTCCTGGGTCCGGATACAACGGCGTCTGGGTCCGGATCCAGACCGCGGTCCGCCAATTGGCGACCCCTGCACTAGACCTTTTTTACAGGATATCCACATCATATGTGGACATTTACAAATCTATATTTATGACGTGGGTATTAAACACATGAGCATACACTAAATTGTTTAAGTGTTTAAGTGACAGAAAGAAAGCTTTTTTTTTTTTACTGACCAAAAACTACATCTAAAGAAAGCATCTTATCAAGCCATCCACTCAATCGCCCCCTTTTCTCAGACATAAAACATCTGGTCCATTCATACTGCAGCTACCTCCTACACTGGGAGTCCTTGCTAGTAAATTCAAGAGCTCTCTGATAGTTTTCTCGGCATGTGAATACGGTCCCTGGTGTCAATGTTAGGTGTGTCTGTAAGAACTGCAGAAACAGAGAGAGAGAGAGGATAGATGAAAAGAGATGGAGGGAAGTAATTCCATTTGAGCATCACACAGGATTTAAAATTGGCACAACTCTTCGCCAATTTTAAATCCTGTGTGATCCAGCAACTACAGACACAGCACAAAGACCACTTGAGAGCGGCCGGAGAAAAAATAAAACGAAAAAGCATCGGAGAGCATATCTTCAGACTTCTGACTCTACAACAGAAGAATCAGACTGAGAACAAGAGAGAGATAGGAAACAAAGCTCAGAAGTGGAAACAAAGGAAGAGAAAAAGCAGCAAAACGTCTTTCTTTTCCAGTTCTGCAGGAATTCTTGTTTCCAAATCAAATCACACACATTCATGCATATGCATGTATTCAATTAAATTATACTTTGTTTGCTTTCTATATACAGGCTCAATAACAGTCTTGTTGTTCCAAGGTCATTTTAATTGGCCGCTGTTTTATACACTATAAACATACAAGCAGAAAGATATGTGCATTTTGTTCCACCAGAACATCTGTCTGTCTGTCTGTCTGTCTGTCTATATGTCTATCTATCTATCCATTCATCCATCCATCCATCTATTCCTGTGTCCTGTGTCCAATGACATCATGCTGTAAGGGGATTAGAAAACGTTGCAGGACACCCAGCGGGACGACTCACTTCCTGTGTGTCATGATGATGCACCACTACTCACACCGCATGATGAATTACAAAGGAAATTGCAGCCCTGCCCACAACTGAACCGACTAAACACACACACACACACACACACACACACACACACACACACTGGTTCCTAATAAAGAATAAGGAGAGGGCTGGGTTAAGCATCACTAATGCCAGAGCGCTTCCTGTCCAATAAGCTTGTTTATATAACCCCTGCTTGGCCTACTATCCAGTCCTCTCCTCTTTGTCTCTCTCCCTCTCTCACCACTGTGAGCTCTGACATGCCAGACAGTGGTGGTGAAACAGACTTATTTGTTTGAGTCGACATTACTCATATTAGGTTAATCTGCTTCTTTATTGCGCCCACGTAACATGTCAAAAACAATTTGGCTCAAGTAAGAGGGAAATGAATTACATCATGGTGCCAAAACCACAGACAAAAAAAGCGGAAGTGATTTTTGAGTCTGTGTCACTGACGGAGCACTATTGCAAGTAGGTGAAATATTAAATTATAACAGAACAGGGACTTGCGTATCTTCCATGAGAAAGTAATGTGTTTGTTGTAAGATGTTTCTTGTTATCAGATGTCATTCGTGGTACAAACCACAAGTTAACCACACCTTAAAAATTAAAAATGACAAGTGAAACACGTATATTCAAAATATTACTTCAAGGGGAACTTCATCGATATTCACACATCCACGTCTGTTTACAGGTTTTGGATAGTTTTGTCTATCTGATGAGTCACCTGAGTCAGCGTCGGTTGGGGCTGAAGACCACAAGTTTGAAAATGAAAAAAATCAGAAGGTGTGACATTAGAAAGTAGTGAGTCCTCCTTAGCCGCTCCTCATCTCTGCTTGAGGCTTGTGGTTTGAGGCTACATCGAATAACACACCCGAATGTTAGACCAAACTGTCGTTGGTCGAGGTGCATTGACGGTAATGTCGGCGCCATGTTTTCACAAGTTAGAATGTGTGGAATAAAAACGACATCAATTTTGTTATTATTAAGCAAAGGTACAGTACTAGTATAAAGTAGAAGTACTTGTTATGCAAAAAACTGGCCACAGAGAGTTATATCATAATGCATTATATTATTTGGTTATTATTACTGATGCATTATTCTTTAAGTAGTATTTTATCATTGTAGTTGTTTGAAGAAGTGCTGAATTTTTCTTATGTATTTTATATATTGTATTCTTATGTACATGTTACTTGAGGCTAAATGCATGTACACATGCTTGAGTGTATGTACACTCAGTTGACTTGTAATAAAACATGCTATGATAAATAACATTACTTCTCTTTGTCTAAAGACGATTTCTGTCAATCGGTTAGTTTGATCTGTAGAGCTGAATGGATGCAGCTCTCTCTCCGTCCCTCTGGTACACGTGTCTTCCTAGAGAAATCTGACCAGATGACCGGCTGCTCTAAGCTCCTTACCCACATTGGGCTCTGGGAACGGAGCCACGCTGGCTCGTCATTGGACTTTACTGCTGCGTTACACAGAAGAAGAGCACACACAAATATTCACACACAGAATAATCCATCCACGCCATAAGCATATCATTGATCCCAAATGCTGAAGTTCACACATCACATGCGTGTACTTTAGCACAGTGGTACGTCGAGCTAAATGCTCATGTCAGGATGCTAACATGCGCAGAAAGACCAGACTAACATGCAGATGTTTAGCGGGTATACTGTGTGGCATTTTCACCAGCTTAGCTTAGCGTGTTAGCATGCTAACATTTGCTTGAATTAGCACTAAACACAAAGTACAGCTGATGGGAATGTAAATAAAGTCACATTTTGACTTCATGGTGGCACTAGAGGAAAAGTCAGGGGATCACCAAAGTCTGCAGGATACATCCTCTGGGGACCATGAATGTCTACACAAAATGTTGTGGCATCCATCCAGTACTTTCAGAGATATTTCAGTTTGGACCAAAGTGGTGGACAAACTGACATTGCAGTCCCTAGAGCCTCATTGCCAGCGTGGCTAAAAATAAAAGACATCACCAGACAGTAACAGCGGCATAAAGCTTTGACAGAAAATGGGTATTTTTCTGTAAACAGCAGAAAAGCAATCTTTGTGACTTCTTTTCTTCTGTTTACATATATTTTTTATAAAACTGCACAAGTCAAATAAACATAAGGAGTCTGTGTGTGTGTGTGTGTGTGTGTGTGTGTGTGTGTGTGTGTGTGTGTGTGTGTGCAGTCTCACCGTGTGGCTAGTTTATGGTTGATGACCCCACTGTCTGTGATGACTTCACTCAGACGCAGCTCCAGGTGCACTTTTCCCTGCAGAACACAAAACACACAAATGGATACTTTCTATGCACACACATCTGAATTTAAATGTTCAAGGTTCTGCGGAGTACTAATGAGCACTTCAGCGTCTGTACAACACCGGCGTCCACCACACAGCCAGGTGCCCAGTGACAGGTGTAAACCTTGCATTCGTCGTTTTGTTTGTGTGCGTGTGAAATAGAGCTGGCTTGTGACGCAAGACAAACTTCCTGCTGACAACAACAGGAAACTTTATCCAATAACAAAATGTCAGTTTTTAAGCTTGTTTTAGGCTTGGTGACAATCCATCTCTCACAATGAATAATCCAACAGGTTCAGCCATTGGTTTCAGCTGCGAGCCTGAACATCATGCTGAAGTTATTTTCCCTCTCTGAAGTGATTGGATTAATGACATAATGACTCCAAAGCTCCATTAATTAACAGCATCAGTATGCAAACTCACAAGCAGAGGGAACAAACACACGCACTTACACATGTGCGGACAGGCCAAACAATGTGTCCTCTATTGAAAAGAGAAGAGAGACACTCTATCTTCCTACTTCATTTGATCCATCTCCCTCGCTTTCTCTCTTTTCTCTCATTCTCTCACACATCCTTCCTCTCCCCGGCTCCACAGATGAATGTGTCTCTGTTTCAGATCGCTGCTCCAGGGCAACACACACCCATCTGTCTGCAGATGTTACTGTTCACTGTGTCTCCGACTGTGTGTGCAGTACCATGTGCCGGGTGTGTGCGTGCATGCGTGTGTGTAACCATGCGTGTGGGTGAGTGAGACTGCTGAAACACCGAATAGTAGAAAATGTTGCACATGTGTCAAATGAGCATGTAGGACAAGTGAGGGAAAAACCGCAACAGCTCACAGCTGGATTACTAGAAGAAAAACAAAGCTAGTTTTCACCGTCTTTTAAGGCTTTAAGGTCAACTATTCATATGTGTGTAAAATTGCATTGACTACTTGCTGAGAATACCCAATGAGAGGTGCTAACTGCATGGCAGATAAAACCGCTGCCAATCACAGAAATCTACTAAGTTCACTTTTAACTGCTGCCATCAATTGTGCAGACTTTCCTCCACTTGTCACAAACAGCAGCTCTGTTATTTGTGTTGTTCCTAATGTTTGGACTTACGTTTGGATGTGCATTTAACATTGACAGAGATGTCAGTGGTACCAAAGTAGAATAAAGTGCAAACATTACAGTCAACATTTCCCAAAAATAAAGGAGCGATTTGCTTTGATGTGCTTTTTTCCCCTCCAACAGGTAAGAACCATGAACGTATTCCTTAACATTCAGTGATGTCTTATTATTATTCTCAACAGCCAATCTGAACCACGACCATGCGACCCAAACACACACACTTTACGTTTTTATCACAGCCAGCTGTCATTAAAACAAGTGAGAATGTGAAATATATAGTGATCTTGATCAAACTGCGTGTTCACTCTTTCACCAGCTGATCACAAACTGAGCGAATGGGATCTAGAGTCCACACAGAGAGCCAGGTGACTTTGACCCTGCAGGCTCAGGTGTTTCAGGTGCACACACGCTGTGTTTGTTTGGTTTCTGCCCTGCTTCAAACATTAACATGCAGAAACTCTATCACACACCAATGCACGTACGGTATGCTGGTGTCTAAGGCTGGGTGTTGCATGAAACCCCAAAAATGCTTTTTTCATACCTTAATTTAAGAAATATAAGCAGGTTTTTCTTCAAAAACATTTTCTTTTGAATAAAATGAGCCAAATTTCTCTCCAATTGTAAAGCCTGTTTATGTATCTTTTGCTGAACAGCACCTACTGTGGCCACAAGTGACAATAAGGGTTAAAATGCTAAAACGCAGTGTAACTGTAGAATAAGTATAGCAAGGTGATGTTGCCATCTATCTAAACAATCTCCATCCAAAACTTGCTAAGATCAGCTAACACTCATACCAGACTATGGAAGGTTGTATTAGCAAAACCCACGAGTGTATTGAAATTTGCAAGGGTGTGTTACTAATATCATCAGTACAGAGTGATATTATACTCACCATTCTGCTATCTGAGTTTCGATAAAGGGAAAGGCTGCAATTCATGGCAGTGTATTGTCCCTCGGGGTAAAAGACAAAGCGGAACATGCGACGTGACTCTGTTGTTGTACGGATGGAATTAGTGCATTGATGGGAGAACGAAATTAGAAAAAAAGAAAATCCAGTCTCGAATATAATCCTGTCCCAAATAAAGGGCTGGCTCTTTCAGCCACTAACCCCGCCAATGAGGTAACTATTGAGAATTTGTGGAAGTCTTACGTTAAATGTTGTCTAAACTAAGGCAGTGCTACAAAAAGCTTCAAAGATCAAAGAATCAAACTAATCTGAGCAAGCGACCAACACCAGCCCCAAAACGTATCCAGCCCTGAGACTAAGTGTCATTTGGTTTCTGTGGAAAAGCTGAGAAACAACAACAACTTTAGGATCTGCGAGAGAAGAGGACGAAAAAGAACAGAGAACAGTGCTTTGTTTTTCAAATGTGTGTGTGTGTGTGTGTGTAAGTGTTTTCTCTCTCTGTACTGACCTGCACTTCTGAGTCAGCGCTGACAGGTTGTAGCTGGAACCAGGTGTCTTTGCCGTGATATTTCTGCAGGTCTTCTTTCTTCACGGCAACTTTGCCTACACACACACATACACACACACACACACACACATTAAAACACAAAGACAAATGAGCTCATAACTCACTTTACTAAAAAGATCTACGTGCTTCAATGCAAGCTTCAACAAACACTGGATGGATCACACACCTGCTGTCAATCCACCCGCCACATGTCTTTTTAATGCATGCAGGCACCTGTTGAAGAAATACTCACAAAGCGAACTGTTGGTGGCCTGGCTATGACCCTGTCATTTCTACCCTGAAACTAACAAGTTACTTTTCTGTAAACAACACACACACACACACACACACACACACACACACACACACACACACA